TTACATTTGTCATGTTTGTCCTTTTGCTACAGCTCTGCAGTGCGGTGTGAGGTGCTGGGAGGGACTCTGTGGTCCTGTCCTATGGCACACACAGGATAGATGCTTTGTAGATTCACCTGGATTGAAGTCCCATTTGCTTGTCTTTGCAGAGGACTGCATGTGTTGACTGTCCACCTTCTGTATCCCTGTTACCATACTCATTTGATGTGTCATTGATGTAATTCTGATTTGATTGTTGTATAGGTTTACTTATTATTCAGGTAATATTGCTAAGGGCCATTTGCATTGCAGGGGAAGAATACGCATGCTTGAGTTTAGTTTTATTTTTGTTTGGTAGATACCAAAATGTTGAAATCTGAGATCAAGTCATATCTCCTTCAGCAAGCAACATGTGTCCAGCACCTGGGACAAATATCAAGTAATCAACCTCAAACAATGGAACAGCTTTTTCTGCAATTGGCTTTTGATTCTCAGACCCATAGCCATGAATAACACCCACTCCCTATGCTCAGTGCAAAATATGAGCTCCAGGACAAATGATAATAAAAAAGCTCAAATGAATTCTGCCCTTCAGGAAATGATTTAATATGTAAGGCTCCCCCATCGCATGCTTCTCCAGGGACTGTGATGTAAGTGTAAGATGAAGTACTATCATAATAATCATGTGTATATATTCCTACCAGCTCTATTACCTGGGGACATCTAAGTCAGGGTCAAGATGTCTGTATCCTTACGGTGACATTACATGTAGTTTCAGGGATGGAGAGTAAGGAAACGGTGGGGGGGCAACTCATCATCTGCTGTAATTATTGCCTGTGGGAGAAGCACCCAGGGTACAAAATCAACCCAGGACAGAGTGAGTGACAGTGCTGCATGTTCATGAGCATTTTTCTCTCTTTCCAGGAGCTGAAAATCTTTGGATAAACTCCTGAGTGACAGAGGCAAGTGAAACTGCCAGTGGGTGGTGCATGGGCATCTCTAATGCTTGCAGATACAAGCCTAGCGCTGCCCTTGCCCGCTGCATGTATTCTATTTATACCACAGTAGAGGGAGCGTTGGCAAAGCATCTCAGAGGAGCAACCTTTTGTTATACCTACAGCTGCTCCCTTCCCCGTTAGTGCAACCGACACAAAAATAATCACAGTAATCATAAGGTTAATTGATTCACTGTCTTGTGACCATGCTGAAGCCGACTCGGCCGTAGCCTGGTTATTGCACCTTGTGTCCCTGTGATTTCCTACAGGGAAGGATGCACCTGAAATACCTCAGGACATTTAGGATCTGTTCACCTGGCTGCTTCTCCCAACAGCTCACCTCATTCTGGCCTTTGTATCATGTCTGCTAGAACAAGACATTGGTTTTCCTTGTGCTGATCTCCAGGCTCAGCACTGAGGGACTATATTTGAAACCAGAGAGTGAGCTGTGTGTTAAGAAATAGCTCTGGCACTAAAATGTTTAAAATTACTCTTTGTTTCCCTGACTTCTCTCCCAATTTAGGTTATCCAAATCCAGATTCCCCCCAGACTTGCCCGCGAGATGTAATTCTAAGAAAATATTGTTTCATTTGTTTTTTAACGTCCGCATTTCTCACATTTCCTGTTCCAGTTTCAAAGTGGGCCTGAGCTCCTGTGCTAACATTGCCCCAGCTGTTACTTTGGAGATCTGAGAGAGGGGAGATAAAATAAACCAAGTGTGGGGAGTTCATTTCTTGCATTTCCCCCTTGTCAGCCACAGGTTCTTTCTCCTAAGTCAGGAAAGAGTTACTGACATTCCCCTCTTTCCAGGTCAAACAGAAGGATTAGATGAAGGGTACTGCTAACGTGGGTCAAGGTATTAAAAAATGGATGCCTAAATTTAGGCTCCTAATTTTGTATTTTGAGCCCCTAAATAAGGGCTTGATCTTATGCCCTTTGAAGTCAATGCCAAAGCTTCCACTGAACTCAGTCTGCAGGATGAAGTCCTAAATTATGGTCAGGTTCTTAAAAGTTCTCAGCGTCTCACAGCTCCAAATAAGTCATCTCCCAGCCCCTCTGCAAATCACGCGTCTTCCCTTAAGTGCCTAAACATGGAGCTCATGCTTTTGGGTATTCCATATTTAAAATCCTGCCTGTTGATGCTGTCTTTCTTTCTGTCTCAGGAGTCACTGACATGGGAAAGATAACAAGAAGCGTATCCAGGACATGCATTGATTTGCTTTTTTGGTGAGTGGTGCTCAGCACGAATGCTGCGGATTCTATGGCAATGTCAGTATTTATTGCGGTGTAACGTTAACATGGAAGGCACATGAATGTCCTTGCTGGTGCCAGAATTCAGGCAAGTACATGACCATTTGCACAAACCTCACATACACCGCTTTCCTGGTAACAGGATGTTGGCAGGTGGGAAGATCACAGGATCCAGATGAAACGTAAGACGAGATGAGCAATCCTGTAGTGGTAATTTTAGAAGCTGGGTTCTGTACATTATTTACAGTACATTGTAGCTTTAAGGGGATAAGGCTACCCCTTGCCACTCGTGGACTTAATAGTTTCTGCGAGATTTCTGTGGGGGCTTTCGGTAGTGCAGCAGTTGGAGGGATTTTGTCCATCCAGAGAAGTGTTCAACTTGCAAGGTGTTCGCAGTGGAACCACCTTCATTCATAAACTGCTCACCCAGTGGGAGGGGAAATGGCACCAAAGAACTTCTACCAATTAAAGAGTAAAAAGCACCTAGTGAGTTAGCTGCTTCCTGCTGGCCTGAAGTGCAGAGGCCTGGCATAAGGAAGGAGCTGCTCACAGCAAACTGTGACAGAGTCGGAAGTGTTTTTCTTGCCTCCAGGAGCTTTAATTTAGCTTTATCTTTAGTTAGTGAAATATCCCCTATTTTCTCAGGAATGGAGACTTGGAAATCTCACTATCTCTTAGAGAATATTTTTGACAGTTACAGTCTGAAGATGGAAAACCAGTTATTTTGTATGAATATTAGGAAAAAAATCTTCCCTGTGAGAGTGGTGAAGCCCTGACACAAGTTGCCCAGAGAAGCTGTGGCTGCCCCATCCCTGGCAGTGTGCAAGGCCAGGTTGAATGGGGCTTTGAGCATCCTGATTTAGTGAAAAGTGTCCCTGTCCATGGCAGGGGGTTGGAACAAGATGAGCTTTAAGGTCCCTCCTAACCCAAACTATTCTATAATTCAATGATTCTATTAATATTTATTTTGTCAGAAACCCCTTGCAACAATTAGTTAAAAAAAATAAAATGGAGAAAGCAAAGAAAAAGGGATTCTTTTGCAATGTTTGAACAACACCCACCGCTCTGTAGAAAACTGATCCCTGAGGGGAAAGGGATTATATTCTCCTCCGGGCTTTCCACTAGGCTGGGTTTCTCCCTTTGCCCAGAAGGAAGGGCCATCATCACCCGGGGTGCAACCCTGCAGTGGGGCAATGGAGGGGCCAGACGGGAGCCGGAGACAGGCCCTGCTCGGACAGACCTGTCGCTCATGTCCCAGCCCTCCTTGGGGTCAGTGTGACCCGGTGACATCCCCACAGACTGCACTGACACAAAATCTGAACTAAAATAAACAAAGGGAAGAAGAGATCTAAGATCTACTGAAAGCAAAGGATTGTATTTTTCTTTTTTTGCCTCGTGGTTTCCCTCAGCCAGCAGGTGCCTCTGTAGAGCCAACGCTTTGCCTGTGTCAGAAGGAGTCTGTGGCACAGCACTGGAATACCTGCTTTCCAATGATAATACGGCCTATTCTTTCTTCGGTGTCCTTTTTTCCCCTTCCTCCAGCCCATGGTGAGCCCCAGGAATCTGCCAGTCTGGACTTTCACTTGGTTCACCCCCCAAGAACCTCAGAGGATGGTGGCAGGAGGGAGATTTGTATACATTGACACAAGCATATTGTTACTGTGTATCCCGCATGGGGAAATTTTGCCTGTGACCAGAGCAAGGGAGCTCAGCCGGAGAATGAGCTCAGTAACCTCATTGAGACAAAGCTTGCCCTTCGAATACCTTCCCAGAAAGCAGTGTGGGGTTTGTCTGGCAACAGTCTTCACCCCTTCAACGGGGACACCCTTCTGCACACCGGAGCACGGCTCAGGCGGGCCCCCTGTGCCAAGGGTGGTGACACTGCATACAGAGAAATAAAATCCAGCTGAGGATGATCCCTCCTCCAGCCCTTTGGCACGTAGGTGCGAAGAAATCCCTGTATCTGAAAAGCGAACCCCTCGGAGGATGGAGGGGGGGAACGGGGGAGTGGGAAGGACAGATGATGATTGTGATGGCAATTTGTCCCCTGCTGCCCCCTCCCCCCAAATGGCTCTGCTGGACTTTGAAGCGATTCCCACGGGCAAGGTGAATTTTGACCCGAACGTGCATTCATCGGCAGGGCAGAACGGGCGGAGTGACGGCGGCCGGGGGGAACACGGCACGGCACGGAGGTTGGGGGCGAAATGCTCGAGCCACGGGGGGCTGCGGTCCCGCGTGGGGCGGGCGGGGAGGGAGAGCGGCGGAGGGGGCGCGCACCCCTTTACCTCCGTGGCCTTTTCGCCCAGCGCGGAAAGGGATGGGAGGGGAGGAGGGAGGGAGGGGAATCGCCAAGGAGGGTGGGACTTTGCCGGAGCGTCTCTCCCCGCGGCCGCGCCGAGCAGTTGCAGAGCGCCGGCGAGCGGGCGGCGGGGTGGGCGCTGCGCTGGGAGCGGGCGCTGCGCGGAGCCGCCGCGCCGGGGCGAGGAGCGCACGCCGTGCCGGCGGGGGACAGCGCGCCGCGGGAGCAGAGCCCTCCCCGGGCACCGGGACCTGCTGTTGGCTTGCCGCCTTGCTTTATTCTCTCGGTTAATTTATTTTTTCCCCACCTATACTTTGATCCGCTGGGATTTTTTTTCCTCCCTTTCCTGCAGAGCCTCTCCCCGCCCCAGTTCCCTCCCTCTCTAGAGCCAGGTTGGATTTTTTCCTTTTTTTTTTTTTTTTTTACATTACTATTCTGATTTTTTTTTTTAAGCGGTGAACAGAGGGAGAGAGAGAGACAGAGTGGGCAGGAGGAAAGCGCTCTGTTCGTCCCCTCCGCCGCCACCACCTCGACTTGCGGAGAGGGGTCGGGCCGAGTGGCGGCGGGAGCAGCCCCTTCCTTTCCCCCGGGGAGGCGACCCGGGCTCTGGGAGCCGCCGGAGGCAGCCACCGCGAAGAGAAGGGGGCGCAGGCAAAGAGATGCATTGAAACTTTCCGCGCAAACTTTGGCGTGAGTGCGCGAAACCGAGCGAGCGCGGCGAGGGTGCCTACTGCCCCGGCGCGGGGAGCGCGGCCGCGGACGGGCGCCGCTGTGGAGCTCGGACTGCCCAGCTGTGGGGGCCGAGCAGCGGCGGCTGGGCGGCCGCGGAGCCTGCGCTCGGCCCGGCGGAGCGCCCGCAGAGAGCAGCAGCAACAGCAGCAGCAGCGAGGGCCGGCGGAGAGCCGGGCTTATGGAGGGGTGAAACCGGAGACCCCGAAGAGGAACCCTTCTTTTCGCGGAGAACCTCGCAGCGCCCGGCCGGCGGCACCCCAGGAGGAGGCGGCGGCGGCGGCGGGCACGGAGGAGGCGCGGGCGAGAGCGCGGCGGGGCGGCGGCGGCGGCGGGGCGGCGGCGAGGCGGAGCGCGGCGGGCCCCGCTCCGCTGCGTGTGCCGGCAACCATGAACTTTCTGCTCACTTGGATCCACTGGGGGCTGGCGGCGCTGCTCTATCTGCAGAGCGCGGAGGTAAGCGGCGGGGACTGCGCGGGACCGGGGCTTTTGTGCCCCGCGTACGGCGGGGGAGGGTGTGTGGGACGACGAGATGGAAAAGACTTTTACCCCACTCTTTTTATTTTTTCGCCCCCCCCGCTCCCCCCCGCCTCCCACCTGCTCGGTGCGATGCCTCCGCGCCGCTGGCAGCGGGTGCGGTGGGTTCCCGCAGCGCACACACGTGCGTGCAGCGCTGCAGCTGGGGGGGGGGGGGGAGAAGAAGCGCTGCTCGGCTCCCCGCGGCCCCCCGGAGCGGCCGGCAGCGCCGTGCGGAGTGCCCGCGCACGTGTGCGCGCATTGCACGCCCCCAGCATGGGGCTCCCACCGGGGCGGCGGCGGCGGGGCCGGGGGTCCCGCCGGGGCGCTGCGCGGCGCGGAGTAGGGAGGCAGCGCGCTGGCTTCTTGCATCAGCCTCGCCTCCCGTCCTCGGGTCTCCTGACATTGCAAAAGGGTGTTTCGGCGGTATTTGCCTTAGGTCCCAGCTCGGGTTCGTGCCGCCGAGTGGAGTTCAAAATACCTAGCTGGAAAAACAAATAGAGATCAAAGAGGACAAAATGGATCCTGAATTTCTTCCAGATTGGAGGAAAAAAAAAATATAATCGCAATACATACCTCCTGCATCGAGATTACAAAACCGTGCATTTTTCTCTTCTCTTCCTCCTCGGTCACTTTTACTTTTGCCTTATTGTCATTCCCGAGGGATTGGAAACCAACTCTCTTCAACTCTTCCTTCTTTTCTTTCTCTTATTTTTTATTCTTTTAAGAAAGAAGAAAGCGTTCTGTGGAAACCTCTCCTCTAAATCTGCCTTTTCTAAAGAGTCAAGAGGGCTGTGTTGCCAAGAGATATTACAGGGTTTAGACAGAGTGCCCACGTGAAAGTGGCTGTTCGCTAGGCGGGCAGGGATTATGTTTTAAAGGCTATAACAGGTTAGTTCTCTCCTGCCATTTCTGCCTGGCACTTGGAGAGGACGCGGGCCAGATCATCTCCCACAATCGTGATAATAAACGTTGCAAAGTAATTAGTTATTCACATTGTTTGTTCAGCACCGATGCTGGAAGGTAACTCCCCAATTAGGAGCCATTTCAGCTGTAACCGAAGTCATGCAGGCACTGCACGCTTTGTTTCTAGCCTGTTATATCTCTACTTTCTCCAGTGACAGCCGCACATTGGGCTGTGCTCGATGGGAACCGAGGCGCAGCTCTCTCTTGAGTGTGGCACAGAGCAGCTCCGTGCTGCCTGCCTGCCAGATCTGGCTCATGGGACAATTCTTTCCACTCTCCAAGAGTTTTTCCACCGTCACCTAAACCGGGGATTTCTTTGCTTCCCAGCTCCTCAGTAAACTTGTGCAGCAGTATGTGTTCCCGGCTGTATGTTAGTACAGTGTCTAGTGATAGTAGTTAGTACCCGTGTCTAGTGATAATACCCTTTAACCCTCCCCTTGCTCCTTCTCCCCTCCCCTTCCTCTTCACCAGAGGAGGAAACGGCAGATCAGGTAGAGTCCAGGTCCTGTCCTCAGGAGCTGTGTAAAAGCCTCGTGCTGCCTGTTCTTCTGGGCAGGAGGATGATGCTGATGAGAAAAGAGGGAGGAAAACGGTGGGGAAAGAAGTAGGGAAGAATTAACGGGGTGTCGGTGGGTTTGGGGGGGGGGGGAATGCTGTGGGGATAGATACATGAGAGATTGTGAGATGTTCAGATAGCTGGGCAATGCAGGCCATGTAAGTGCTCAGGCAGATCAATGGTGAGGTCTTGCCCTTCAGTTCTGTCCTTATTTGTCCGTTGATTGCCTGGGCACCACGGTGATGGGAACGTTAGAAATGCCAGCAGATCTCACGTAGGCAGCTTGACGATGTCTCTGGGCATGGCAGGAGGCATGACTCTTCACGCCGGGTCTAGGGTTTTGTGCTTTGATGATAATATTTATCTGTACTGTTAATCTGGCTGTCGTACTGAATAAAACCTATCTAGTTAGCCAGGCGTGTTAGAAAGAATTAAATAAAAGCCCTAGCAGAGGCTGCATTGGGAAAGCGGGGTCCAGTTTGTGTCGGGCAGCTTTCCTGAAGGCAAAGGAGGAGGGATGCTTCTCTGGTGAAGGTGGCAGGGGGATGACTCCTTATTGTTATGGTTGCTTCTGCAGCCAGGCAGGGACAGTGGGAAATGGTGCCATGGTCGGGGCTGGGTGGTGCTGATGCCACAGGTGTCTGCCTCTGCTGGTGGTGACAGCCTTTCTGGGTAGGAGAGGGTAGAAAAGGTGGTTTTGCACCCATGTGTTGCTGTGCTGAGCTGCAGTGCAGTCCTTCAGCTCTACGGGGTCAGAGAGGTTGCATTGTTGTCCCCTTCCAGCCCCCCCCCCCCCCCAAAGACCAGGGTATGATCTGTCATTCCCCATCTTCCTTTGTCTCCGGTCTTGATGGCAGCCTGGTGGCAGGTCACCCCTGATGAGGGGCTGGGAACTCTTCTGTTCCTGCCCTGAACTGCAGAGGGACCCGGACACACCAGCTGTATTGCCATAGGGAAGAGGCAGGGATCAGACAAGGAGGGAGGGAGAACGAGCCTGTGACTAGACTGCTAATGATCACACACCCACCAGGCTCCCTGCCTTTGCTGTGCCTCTGTGCCAGGCCACGATGGGGAGCCACCAGAACCTGCTTCTCTAGCCTGTAGGCAGCCAGGGCACAGCGGGTCACCTTCCCCATTGCTGCTCCAGGTCTGTGCTCAGAGGACAGGCTGGGAGGGAGCACTCCTTTGGAGCAGGAAGAGGGAAGCCCATGCTGACATCTCAGAGGGGTTTGCTGAGCAACCTTAAATCTGCTTTCCTGTCCGCCCTGCTTCGTGTCAGAGGTGCCTTGGCTGTGCTGGCAGCTTTCAGGATTACTGAGCTCTGTTTGCATGTACAATGGAGAAGGAGTGCAGTGAAGTCCTGTCCCCCCCTCCCCTTAAGCAGAAACCCCTGAGAATTTCTAGTGCCTAAGACGAAAAGTGCCTTAACTCCTGTCCCAGAGTCCCTCTCAAAAGTGGATGGATTGTTTGTTCCAGTCCTAAACAGTTACAAAGCTCTTTTAATGAGCCTGCACAGATTAGGGGGAGGGGAAGGAAGAGAAAGAGTGCTGGTGGTAGTTGTGAGGGGGGATGATGGTTAGAGAGGAATGACATGATTAACCTTTTCTCTCCCTTCAGAGTATAATGTGCTCGGGACAGGGACTTGGGGAGAAGGGGGACAGGGAACGTTCAGGTTTATTTGTTAGGGAGAGTTTTACTCCACTGCGGGATATGCATTTGCTGCAACCTCTGAAGGGCACAGAAAGGAGTTTCCCCTTGGTCACCCCCATATCCTGCTTTTGAATGCAGGAGTTGCTTCCACACCTCTGTGAAATGTTGAAAATCTATTCAAAGGAAATCATATTGCAGAGCTGTTGGGTAATGCTGAAAGCCAGCAGAGGAGAGTGTGACCTTCAGGCTCCCACCGAAGGGCATGCCAGGCCTTGTCCCTTGGAAGACTTCTGGTTCCCTATTGCCCTGACTGATACGTAGCAGGCTGGTTTAAGGTGAGGCAAAAGCCCCTGCCTTGCCTGCTGTTCCGGTGGATGGTCTTTGAGGGCACTAGCCGCAGGTGAAAGGCACTACCAAAAGGGCAGGAGAGTTTCTTGGTATAGTGAGCAGAGAGCGTGTTACCGAGTTCTGGGAAACCTTCTGGGTTTCTGCTGAGAGCTCCCTGGGATTGTTAAGAAGCCCTCTACAGACTTGGTACTGATCTCATTTCCCATCCTTGGGGTGGGATCACAACCCAGGTCTAGGTGAGTTCCGCGGGAGCTCAGGCTTTTCTGCTCCAGTACATCAGGGGCAGGGCGAGGTGCTGGCTGGGTGCAAGTGAGCAGTGGAAGTGTGTGGCTTGCTTCTGCTTCCCATCACCCATGCACCATACGTGCGTGCAAGGAGGCAGAGGGCTTGGCAGCTGGCTAGGCAGCCTGGCATAGGGAATGGGTAGAATGACCCTCAAAGCGTCTCTGAGCTAATTTTGTGCGGTCCATCACGGTCATTCTGTGTGAACCCAAAATCACTTTGCAAAAGGTCCAGGAGGTGCTGTGACTTGGATAAACTGACTTGGCTCGTGATCCTCTTCCTGTGCTCCAACACTGATTGAGGCGTTTCTGCCCTTGATGCGGTTTTCTTTTGACCCTTAGGCTGTCAGGCACTGAGTGGCTTTGGAAGGCCTCTGCAACCTCTACTGCCTCCATTTTGTTCCTGCTGTTGCAGTGACCTTCACACTTCAGGAATGAAACTGTTTCTAGGAACCTGCTTTTTAAACTGTTGTCCCAGCGCTGAGATTGTGCACGCAGCCCTCTCCTCCCCAGAGAAGAAACAGATCCAAGTACAGGGTGGCACAGGTCTGGGCTGCTGAGTTGTGCCCAGGTACAGGAAGACTTTGGTTGAAATAAGTAACAAGGAATTCGATGAGGGGGGCTTTAGACAAAGGGAACTGTGCACAGACACAAAGGAATGGCTGGGAAAGGGGCTTCTAGGGCTTTGCTGGCTCTCTTGCCCCCTCCTTTTAAAAGCTGACACTTTGGGCTGCTCGGAGGGTGGTGCTGCCCTGTGCATGGGGCTGCGTGGTGGTGGGTTCCCGTTGTGAGCTTGGGGTGGACTTCATTCGGTGTGCTCAGTTCTGTCTCTAGCTACGACATCAGAGGGCCTTTCTCTAAGCCTAAATGCAGCATATCGCTGATGAAGCAGTATTTTTGTATGTATCACCACTCTCTTGTGGGGCCTCTGCTAAAAGACAGCAGGTTCTGGGGTGGATGGCGTCACACAGGTGGCAACATAGCTTGGAGAAGTGAAGAAAGCCGGGCATTTTTCAGTTTTGGTTCAGAACAGAACAGCAGGGGGAAACCTGACTTGGCTGGAAAGTTATGTCAGAGCCAAAGCCCTCATGCAGAGCAGGAAGCGTGGAGTTTTTGGTTCACTTGGAATTAAAAGGACTTCCTTAGCACGGTGGTGTCACGCTTCTCCATCCCGGTCTGGCGGTGGGTTACCTGTCGCCACTCCTGCCTGTGTCAGGAAATGCCCCTCACCCCAGAAGGCAGAAGGAGTGAACGAAGGGCTTGGGGCCTGCCTGGGTTTTGCTCAGGGGAAGCCACAGGGAGCTGAGGAACAGGAGCATGGCCATGCAGGGGCTGGGGACCGGCACCGTTAGGTGAGGGTGTGCACTGCCCGCCCTTCCAGGGGAAAGGAAGGAAACCTGGGCGGTTTGGCGGTGCTGTCGGCAAAGCAGTGCTGTCACAGCTAACTGCCCTGACACCCGGACAGATACCAGCACCTCGGTGGCCACCACTGCTCAGCACAAGACACCTGTGACATTGAGAGGGGAGCGATGCCCTTTTGCGCCTGGCCACCCTTCATTCCCCTGTGCCCTCCTGAGGGGATTCACCTTTCCCAGGTGAAATGGAAGCCAGGGGAGAAGAGCGATGCCCCCCCAGATCCCACTGGTCATGTCAGCAGTAGAAGGGCACTCCTGTTACTTTTCTCCCCTGGGCCCACATTTTCCTGCTGGTTTTGGCTGAAAACCGCCCAGGGTCGCTCCCGAGGGACCCGTTTCTCCCTCCGGGGCCTCCGTCGGCCGCCGTGCTGGAGGCCCGGCCGCCGCCTTCCCGCCTGCCCCTTCCCTCGGCGCGGGTCCGGCCTGTCCCGCCGTGTCCCGCTCGGCTCCTCGGGGGACGGGAGGAACAAAAGGCGCCTCTGTGTCCGCCTGGGGGGAATATAACGGCTCCACCTCGGGGGCGTCCCCTCCGCCTCCTGCCTGGGAGCCCTCCCGCGCCCCGGGACCGCGCCGCGGCTCCGTGTGGTGACCGATTTTCTGTTATCTTTGCAGTTGTCGAAGGCAGCTCCTGCCCTGGGGGATGGGGAGCGGAAACCCAATGAAGGTAAGCGCGGGGGGGCTGCCCGGCGGGCGGGGGGCGGGCGGGGTGGCGGGGGCCTCGGAGGAAGGAGGCCAGAGCCCCGGGAGCCGGCGGCGGCCAACACCGCCACCTCCCGGGGAGCGGCGGCGGGAGCGGGGGGCCGCCGCCATTAACCCCTTCGCTACGGTGAGCCGCGCCCCCCCCTCCTCGCGGGGCTGTGGCGGCCGCGGGTCGGGGTGCTGGGACCGGGTGGCCGCGGGGCCGACCCCGGGGCTGCCGCGGGGCCTGGGCGTGCAGCAGGGCCGGCCCAGCCCACTGCTGGTTTCCCACAACTCTGAGGAAAACTGCGTGCGTGCGCCTGTGCACATACACACGCTCATATATATATATATATACACACACACACACACACACACACACATGCTCGCGCACGCTGAGTAGCGGCGAACAGTTTGCTAGGCATTCGCCACAGTGCTGTAGGAAGGGATTTGTCATCTTCACTGCGGTGGTGCCCGGCTGTGTGGCCAGGGCTGATCCCTGAACAAAGCCTAAAGCAACGCCCCGGCTCCAGCCAGGTCTCTGGGGAAGAGAAGGAGAAAAGAGCAGCCCAGGGTGGTTTTCTGAAGTCGTGGCTCCTGACAGTCCCAGGTACCCCTCAGTTAGGTTATTGCTTAGTGATGTACGGAGCCAGGCTTGGAAAATACACCCTTTCACTCCAGTCTGAGCTAGCAGGCTTAGCAGATTCAGGAGACTGCAGCGTGATCCAATAGGTTCTACTCAATTTATTGCTTGTGGTCCATTACGGGCAAGGCAATTGCCTGGTGAGGAAACAAGGTGGTGCCTCAGCAGCTGTTGCGATTTTGGGTCTGTACAGCTAGCCCAAAGGCTAGGATGTGGCATTGTCCTCTGCCTTGTTGGTTTGTGCAAGTAAGTGCAGACCAGGAGAATGGTCAGCCCCCGGGATAGTTAGTGATGCCTCCCACTGTCTTGTAGACCCCAGTGCATTGCAGGAGGTTGGCATTCTATCTGCAGTCCTCAGTGGGGTTAAAGGGCTGTGGACTCTGGAGCCTTCAGGCTGAGGTGATCATCAGCTGCTTTAAGAGCATCCTGGCCGTGTTTTCCCTATACCTTCATGGCGGAGCAGACCGCTGGCTGCGTGGCAGGGTCTGGCGAAGATCTTGCAGGGTCCCTGCTGGTGGTGACCTCCCGCGTTATTCCAGCTGGAGGTCAGCAGAGGGCTCTAGCAGTGTGGGCCCACACTGGCTTTTTTTGTGGTGGTGCAGTGGATTTCAAGTTCTGTAACTTTATTGGTGTGACAGGCTAAGTGTGCATTGCCAGGGGCTTGTGGCAGGCTGTGTTTGGGATAGGTGTCCATTTTGCACGGGCAAAATTTGCTGGCAGGCTGCCGCCTGTTGCGCTTGACCCTTGCTCCTGCTGAAGTCAACAGAAGAAGGTTCAGTGACTCCAGAGGGATCAAAATGGGGCCTGCTCTGAGGCTTATTTTGGTAATCGGTCCTCTGCTGTTGGTAGAAAGGAGCTAGTGTCCTCATCTGTGCCATTTGTTCTGTCCGACTACCTGCCTGGGGAGGAGAAGAATCAAACAATTTAATTCCCTGTCCCAGGAAGGCTGATGGGATCGCGGGAGAAGTTAGTCTGGCAATGTGAGGGGGAGACTTTGGTGCTGTTGCCTTGGTGCTATTTCTGGTTCTGCGATGCAGATATATCTGTGAGCTAGAAATCAAGACTCTTGGCATCACCTTCCTGGCTCTACTTCCATCCTGCTGTTTGACCTTGGAGGTCCTCTCTCTGTACCTCAGTTCTTCAAAGAGGGGACGATGATAGACCTGTGTTCCAGAAGGACAGGCCTGTAGCTCCTTCCACTGAAGCTTTTGGAGGCTTTGGGGTTGGGGTAAAAGGTGATTTTGTGTCTTTGGCCATTTCATGCTTTTTCTGAGATGTCAAGCTGTAACAGGTTTTTATTTGGGATGGATTCACTCTGGTTGGAGACTGTAATTTTAGCTTCAGCCCCTACCCTTTTGTGCTCAAGAGAGCCTTCCACATGTTTTGTGGCACGGGAAGTTGTAGAGGAGGCAGACAAACACTCTTTGTTCCACGAGAAAAGATTTTCTGGTATAAATAAAAGAAACCACCAGCACTTGTGGCAGCGCTTTTATTTTTAAAAGAACAGTATGTCTGCATTGCTGCTAAGCCATTGATGGCAAGGGAGGCAGAGTGATCGTGAACTTGTTCCTTTTCTAGTATAGCATGTTCCCACTCAACTGCTCCAAATTTGGACGTAATCCTGCCTGCTCTGGCTATGCCTGCCCTGAAGAGTTAATGTGGGCCTGGACTGGCTTTTAACCTTACTGCCCCCTCCATTGACAAAGAAGAACCTCTGACTCAAGTCTGGAGGTGTTTTGGGGGGTAGGAGAGTGGGTTAGATGTGGGATTAACTTTATATGTGGGCTGAAACCCGAATTGCAGGAAGGGAGCAGGCCAAGTGTTGTTAGTCCTTCAGTGACCTTCCTGTGTTTCCCCGTGAAAGACAGACCTTCTTCCGTCCCTGGCACAACCAATGGAAAGGAAGCACAGTCTGAATCAGCCCAGCAAAGTGTGGAATATGACTCCCAGTACATGGGAGTAAGTGTAGGTATGGTAGCAGGGGCAGGGCTTTGCTGTGAGGATGACTGTGCCTCAGTCATGTGCTCTGGTTTGGGTGCTAACTTTGCAAATGAACTGTTGAGCATTGCACAGTGTACAAGTGAATGCTCTGTGTCCAGCAAAATCAAAGCCTTCCATGGTAGGATCTTCTGACTGGCAACTGGAGAAAGATTCCCCGTTTCCTTTCCAGAGGCTGATTCAGACTTTGGAAAATCATATGTTAAAGTAAGGGCAAAATCTCCTAGATTCTTTAAGGAAAGGATTTGGTCATGCCAAATCTCCCAGATCTCAAGTATAGTCATGAGGGTGCAGCCGTGAAAGCAAAGGCTCTGCTTAAGAAGTTGAATGTGCTGTTCTCTGGCCAATCTGTAGTCAGTATTCTCTGGTGTAATCCAGCTGTTTGTGCAGTGCAAACATTTAGGAAGCATGGCAGACATTAATCAGGTTCACTTCAGTTTTTGACTCTGTTTCGGTTTCTTCCTCCTTTATGCCCCAGACTACTGCGGTGAGCAGCTTTGATCTGCACAGGTAACTGCTGCTTTCCCTCCCACTTCCCTCCCTCCCCTTGACGTAGGTCTGTAAGCATTTTTGTCCAGAACTGTGCCTTCTCTGCCAGAGTTCCCAGATTCTTCCTGCTGGCACAGTGTGAATGATCAACAGTGCAGTTCAGCCACTGTCATTGTGCCTACAGAATTTCCCACGTATTAAATTGTTCAACTTGTTAGAATATACGCGGTGGCTAAGGTCACTCTGAAGTCAACAGGAAGAAGGAGGTAGCCACAGACAAGATAGAGGAATAGACAGGAGGCATACTGCAGTTAGGAGAAGAGGAAAAGGGAAGGGAAAGGACAAGAAACAGAAACATACTGTCTTCTAGATGAGGAATACCAACAAGCAGTCCATGCCTGCCAGGCTACATTTCCCTTTCACAAGCCACTTTCTCTTTTAATAGCTGCTCACACTTTCTGACACTTCAGACTCCCTGGATGGAAGCTCCTCCCCTCTTGTACCCGCTCTCAGCACTGTGGCACTGTCAGCTCTGTGTGACCTAGAATTAACTTTCAACAATTAACTGCGGGCTGTGAGCTCCAAGCCCTGCAGCTTTTGCATTTTTGTGGCAAAGTAACCTTTATGCCAGTTTGTCACAAGTTCAGGGCACTTTAGAAACGCTTACTGGAGACCATTTTTTTCCATGATGCAAGCAGTTTGCTCTTATCACTCTGAGTTATCAACCTTGGTGTTGTAGGACTCTGCATACTGTACAGGTGGATCATTATAGTGCATAACAGCATGGGCAGGTACTGTCTCTTTGTGTGTACTCTTATCCTCTGCTCCATTTGGGACATCCTCCTTTACCTGTGTGCTGATAGAGCTAGGAGGCCTGGAGGGCTGTAGGTACTCACTGTTTGCAGAACTGTATTAGCAGCCGGGTTTTGTCTGTGTGTACTTATCTATCCTCTTTCTCATCTCTTTAATTCTCTCCAACCCTTGACCAAGCAACAGAATGAAGCTTTGGCAAGAAACTGGGAAACATTGAGAAATGCTTGTGAAATCAGTGCAGATTGTAAGCAGTTAGTGTTTGCTCCATTAGTAGGGAAGGTGGCAGATCATGGCAGATCCACCCTGTTCCCCCTCCCACACTGCCTCGTTGTGGTTTGGTGGCCAGGTGTATGGTCTGGTTAATCCTGGGGGTGCTGTGGGCTTGCTTTCAGTCTTTCAGTGGGTGGCTTGATTCTTTGGTCTGGGAAAGTGGTCAGTGTGGAGACACGGAGGCTGTGACTTGTAGCAAGTGCTGTCATGGCTCTGAGGTGGCCTGTTGAGGTGAATGTTCTGCATGAGCAAAAGAAGTGGCTGACTGGAAGAATGAAGATACGTAAATGCATGGTTCAGAACCTTCTGCTTGTTCTTGGAAGGGTCTCTGCTCTGAATGCTGTAGAAAGGATGCTTCTGGCTTATTCCCTTGCCTTCTAAAAGCCACTGGGGCATCCACTGGCTGTTTTTGAAAAGGGATAAACGGCAAATCGGTGAAGGGTTTTAACCTAGAGTGCAGATTATCCTCAGCAGCCTCAGGTGCCTTTTGGCTGAGCTAGTATGCTTTGTGGCAGCATATCCAAGAGTATGGGGGATAGCAGGGAATATGAGTGAGGCTGTGGTCTATTTTGCCTCTGCCCTAAAGCAGCAATAAGAAGATTGTCTCCTTCTGTCCCCACTTGATTTGTGTGTGTGTGTAGGGGGTAGAGACAATGGATTTAGGCCTGCCTACAAGACTGTTGGTGAAGAGCATGTGGTAGATGTGTTGCAACATTTTAAGTGGTGAAGCGCTAGACGTTCTTGAGCTAAGTTTGCATTAACTTGTTCCCTCCATTCCTTCTTTTAGTTATCAAATTCCTGGAAGTCTATGAGCGCAGCTTCTGCAGGACAATTGAGACCCTGGTGGACATTTTCCAGGAGTACCCTGATGAGGTGGAGTACATATTCAAGCCATCCTGTGTGCCTCTGATGAGATGTGCGGGTTGCTGCGGCGATGAGGGCCTAGAATGTGTTCCTGTGGATGTGTACAACGTCACGATGGAGGTGAGGGCCCGACTTGCAAGCTGGCATGCTTGGGTGAAAGGAAGCAAGTCAGCCATCACAGCCACTCCAAGTCTCCACTCCCAGCTAATTCAGAGGAAGGGCACCCTATCACAGGGAACTGGAGGTTATCAGATCAGGAGGACTAACCTCTCTCCTAACCATTGTGCCCAGCATTGCACCATGCAGGGTTAAAAGATAAATTGCCCATGTCTCATCAAGGCTAAGGGGAGAATCTGTTTTTTTGGATCTGACCTTGCCAGTGCCCAAATAGAGTTGCTAGGAGCATGCAAAGGAGAATTTCTGCAAAGGAGCACTTCATGTTTAAGATAATGCAAAGGAGCATTTCTGGTGCACTTACCTCTAAAGCCTCAAAGAAGATACTCCTTGGGCCCCTGCTGCACCTTCACTCTGTGTTTGGTCCACACAGATGTTGATCTGAAAGCAGCTGGGTAGTGCACGAGGGGAAAGCCTGTCAGTACTCTCTCCCGGAGGGCATGTGAGGTCAGCCTTTACCAACAGAGCAAGGGATTTGAGTCATTAGCTACGTTGGCACAGCAGGGGTGGAAAGGGGCTCTAAGGAACACACTGCTTCAGTGTCAAGTGGAAAAGCCTTTCTGCCTCTGGGCATCCTCCTCCTTTGTTTGGAGGCTGCTGAATTCATTTCTTGGAGGAGACAGAGATGGCTGTGATAGAAAAGGCTGGGCACATGGGGAAGATGTGAACTCTGCTTTAGAGAGCTTGTCACCTCCCTTGTCTGCAGCCTGGATCCTAACTTGTGCCCACAGTGGTGCCCTTAACCCATAGCTCCCTCACCTACTTTTTCCTTCAACCTCTTGAATGGCCACTGTGAATATTGCCATCACTTTATGATATGAATGACATACATGCAGTACTAAGTGATTAACGTGTGGGCTCTTTTTGCATGTCATTTGAGCTGTGTTTAACTCTGGTGGGTCACCTGTCTGTGTCCTTCCATGGTTCCCTATACTGCTTTTCCACTTGCAGGCTCTAGCTTGGGCCTGAGCATGGTGTAGCTGGGGATGGTCTTCCTACCATTCCTTGCTGAATCACAGTTTTGGGCTGATATACCTGCATGCCTGGAAGGGGTCAGAGGCACTTGAGCAGATCTCTGGTGCAAATGCTAGAGCTCGTGGGTCAGTCAGGTTCTGGGTTGAGAAACTGTGACAATACATGCATCGCTTCTAATATAATTACCCTGGAGGCATCTGGGGCTGGGTGATGGAAAATATCTGGCCCTGCAGGGCTGCTTTAACCACAGATGACCAGATTTACAATGTGTATTGAGTCACTGACAAAGTGATATATCAGCTGGGAAGGAATGGTGGCGTAGGTAAAAGGAGTTAGATACGGGCCCTTGTGTTAAACCAAAGCATGCTTCTACGTGACAGCAGGCTGGATACTCCTTTACCGTCCCTCTAGCATCAGCCAGGGAGAGCTCAGTGAGAACCTTGCTATGGTGTTACGCCCTCTCCCATACCTTTCTCCAAGGCCGTCCACCAGTGCTGGCACCTTGAATACATGAGCAAACAGAGCTTTGGCACGAGTCTGGTGTTGTTGCTTGCTTGTGATCAAAGATCTTTCTGACTGGGAGAATGGGGCCTCAAAGCCAGCTCAAACTCTGCTATGCTCTTCCCAGGAACACCTGGGGTGCAAATGCTTTGCTGTGCAGCAGGCTGATTTGGAGCTGTGAATATAAATAGTGAATGGGCAGTGACCCTCTCTGTTTCTTTCATTCCAGATCATGAGAATTAAACCCCATCAGAGTCAGCACATAGCGCACATGAGCTTCTTACAGCACAGTAAATGTGACTGCAGGTGAGAATGGAGCAGCACTGGTTCCTCTTGCAATAAACTTACTCTGAGCCTTTCCTTTTTCTGCCCTTGGGTTGGGACTGTTTTCCAGAGGCTTCTGCAGTCTCCTCAGTTGGTTTGCAGAGGGATGGCTGAGCCTGGAAAAAGAAGTAATTTGCTGGTGCAGCTCCTCCATCTCCAGATATCACAGGTGGACAGTGCTAGCCTGCAACCTGGGGTCTTTTGGCACTGAGTGCCATTGAGATGAAAAAGGAGAGCAAACACTTTGAGAAGGACCACTAAACCTGCCATGGGCATCCTGCAATGCCAGCTGTACATGTCCTTCCTTGGACTTGGTGGGACCTGGGGGATAATACTGGAAGCATATGTGGTAAGCTCCCTTCTAATGAGGCCTTTGTTCTCTGTTCCCCCACAGACCAAAGAAAGATGTCAAAAACAAACAAGAAAAGTAAGTGACAAGCCTTTCCTCCTTTCTCTTTTGGTGGTTGGTTGGTGTTTCCTCTCCCCACTGCCCCTTGCCCTTATCTTTGGTTGGAGGTATTTACTTGGAGAAGGTGTTTTTGGAAATGGCATATGGTAGTGCATGGGGCGACACTCTGAATCCGTTCCAGGTGGGCACAGAAACCCAGATCTGATGGTTGTTCCTTCATACCCCAGTCTTGGAGCTTGCATGACCCATGGTCATGGCAGTCATTCCTAACGCTTTATCCTGAGTCAGGGAGGTCCCGTCTTGTGTGTCCTACCAGAATGGATTCAAGGTGCAGCCCCTAATCTCCCTTCCCTCTTCCTGGGGTGTTTCTGGTTACTGCAAATCGCTGCCTTTCTTTATGATTAATTTTTTTCTTGCTGCTTGAGTGAGTACTTGCTGGCTTCTTTCACAGCAGCTTGGGTAGGAACTCTGCTGGCTACACGGAGAGGTGACAGTAGAGGTCTGGTGGAGGCAGGACAGATGCCATGCAGGATGTGGCTCTGGTTTTGGTTGGGTGGGGGCCAGGGAGGGTGTAAAGGGAGGTGGATGTCCTGTCTGGGTCTTGGTGGAGGCTTTCATGAGAGTTTTTTCAGTCTGATGGATTTGCTCTTGTGACCTGAAGGAGGTTAAGGTACAACCTTCCTTTTCCTTCCTCCCGAAAGGAAAAACGATGTGGAAAGTAGAGAAATAAGCTCTTGTCCTGCAGTAGCTGCAGGGATGATCACAAAATGTGGAGCAATATTGAAAAGAAAGAGTGACCTCTCTGGTGAGAGTCAGCTGGACTGTGCATGGCTGGGGTAGCAGCTCTGCTGGTCAGAAGTGTGGAGTTGGGAGAGGAAGTGAATGAATACTGGGAGATGAGGCTGAACAGAGAGCAAGCGGGAGAGTGAGAGAACTTCTTTCACCCCTCTCCTGGTGGTTGTGTATTTCTAGCTGCCTTCCAGCCTCTCCTCCTCCCCTTGGAAATCTGCTCCTGGCTGCACTGGGCTGTGTGCAGCTGGCACTCCTCTCTGAGCAGGGCCGTGCTGGGGGTGGTTGGTCTGCGTGGCTCTGTGGTTTGAAGGTGTGCGAGAGTTGGGTCTGTGTGAACTCTGGTAAGGATGGGTGTGGGTGAAGCAGCCAGCCTGGACTGTGTTGCATTCCCTTTCCTCTTCTAACAGCACCTTGTCTGCTCTTTGCTGGTTCTGCACTCCCTGGGGAAGGAAGGGAAGGAATGGGAGAGGCTGGTGTGCTTTGATTTGTGCTGGATTGAAAGTCCTGTTATATTGGTGCCCCTCTCCTCCCTTCAGGTCGATTTTCCTCCCCTCACCGCCTCCTTGTGACTCCTGACATGTAGGGCAGAGGCTGGGAGCGAGCTGATGCTCTGACACTCATTCCAGTGAGACGACTTGAACAGGGCTTAAGAAACACCTATGGTGCTTTCCCTTCTGTCCCCCATGTCCCCATCACAGCTCCCTCCTGAGGTGGGCTGTGCCAGGGAATGAGGGAGCCTTTGCTGAACTACTGCAATGCTGGGGCTCACTTGCCTGACAAGCCCTGGTGCTTTTGCCTAGGGCCTTCTCCTTGCATGTCTCTCCTTTGGTCCTGTGCTAATGTGGCTCAGGAGCAGCGCAGGCTCCAGCCTCCCTCTTTCCCTGTGCTCTCACTGGTCTGTAGAGGTCCATGGTTAGTGTCTAGGCCTGCCCAAGAGTCAGGAGCTACTGGTGAATTTTTCAGAATGGAGTCAGTGCCTTGGCTCCAACTGCTCATCTGTCTGGCAGATCCACATGGAAGGCAACGGGAAGGAGGGAAAGGAGGGAAAATCGGAAAGCTGCTTGCTGGTTATCTCTTGGGTGTCATAACTAGGTCAGGCCTCCCTTTTTCCCCTCCAGTGCTCAGGTTAGAGGCTGCCAGAGGGGAGGTTAGCAGACATCTGGTGAGGTCTCCTGAAGCCCTCCAAACCACACGCAGGAGGTGGGATGGGTAAGCAGAGCCTTCAGGCTAGATAGCTCTCTCCCACACAGTGCTGCTGTGTAGACCGGGTCTCACCCCTTGTCTGTAGGGTGCTGAGGTGAGGCCCCCTTTGCTTCCATCCCAAGACAGGATCACCACCACCCTGGCAGCAGAGCTGTTGGAGCTTGGCTGCCCCCTCCTAGGCCTGGTGCTGGGCAGTGCATCAGGTCAGAGCAGTTTCCTTTTCCCTGGGGAGAACCTCTCCCCTCAGGTTGCCTCTTGTCAGTCAGTGTGCACCCGTGCTTGTCGCTTGGAACGGTTGTCTGCACTCCCTGCGGTTGCGTGATGCTTTCACGAAGCTTTCTGTTCCTTCCCCTCACGCCCTGTCCTTTCCCCACTGCCCCTCTGATTTGGAGGGGCAGCAGATCTGCCTGTGCTGGCAGCAGCCCTGCTGGCGGTGGTCTCTGAGTCCCTGGCACTGGCTTGGCCATGGGCAGGCTGGTTGCGGTGCTGGCAGGAGCGCAGAAGGGCCGGTGAATGTGTGTGCGAGGTGGAGATCTATGCTTCGGCCTTGGGACCTGCCATCCAGTCCTGCCCCATGTGCTTCCCCCTCCTAGCAAGGCACATGGCTGTATTTTTTTTCCTCCTCTTCCTTGCGTTTTCTTCTGTTTTCTCTCTCTCTCCCTTTCTTTCCTTCTCTCTCTCTTTCTCTGTTTTTTTTTTTTTTTTGTTTTTCTTCCAGAAAATCAAAGCGAGGAAAGGGGAAGGGTCAAAAGAGAAAGCGCAAGAAAGGCCGGTACAAACCACTCAGCTTGTACGTTTGTGTCCTCTGCTTGTAGACTTTCTTCCCTCCCTTTCCCCAAAGCAATCCGCCTGCTTGCTGCTCATGCAAATCTCACCCTCCCCTCCCAGTCACTGGTGGGCTGCAGATCCTGCAGGGGCAGCACTGGTGGTGGCACCGCTCTGGCACTGAGGGCATCTCAGGGAAGGTGGCTTTAGCTTGCTTGGCTTTCTAATCATCAGTGGTGACAATTCTCCCAAGGCACAGGAGTGCGGACGGGCGGGCGAGCGCTCTGCACCCTCTTTTCAACACTTTCTGGTTGCAACTCTCTCGTCTGCTTCCCCCGACTCATCTTGTGCCCTCACTGCTACGGTGACTGGCAACAGGGAGGCTGGTGTCTGCCGTGCATGTGTGCGTGTGTGTGGGTGTGCGTGCGTGTCTGGTGGAGTCACAGGCGGAGAGGAGAGGTGGGACGGCGGGAAGCTGGAGAGGGTGTGCTGGGGAACCGGGCGGGCTCGCTCTCTCCTTTCCTCTCTCTGCTGCATTTGGTGGCTTCTCTCTCCCTGTCTTTCTCTGTCCATTTCGCTCTGCCTCTCTCACAGCGTTTCACAGAATTCTGCATTGTAAAGTCATAACCCCTTCACAGGACACTCCTGTGACCTATGGTGGCAAGGTTGGGATGGGGCTGTCAGAAAGGAGGGCAGTGCTGGCTGCAGGAGTAACCGTCTGATGCTGCAGCCCAGCTGCTTTTCAGGGGAGGAGAGACCCTGTGTATTTAACTCGTTCAGCTGCTGGCCTCTTTCTACTCGAATAGCCCACTTCAGAGAACGCCTTTCATTGATATGTCAATAGCTGGCTGGGACCTCTCACCTTCCCATCCTTGCTTTCCCCTTCTTCCTCCCTCTGGCCTGTGCCTATGGATCCAATGCAGCATTTGTGAATACTGTGCAGAGAGCCTTTTCTCTTTCTCTTTACGCTAATGCAAAGGGGTGCTGTCCTGGGGCTGCCGGGGTGCTGCTGGAAAATCCATCAGCCCACGACGCTCCAGTGGGCGGCATGGGGGCTGTGGGAGGGGGCAGAGGGATTGCTTTGATGTTTAGGGTGTTGCATGTGTATTTTCTTTCTGCTGAAGCGCTGTAGCTTAGACGTCTTTCCTTTTGCCTTTTTGCAGTCACTGTGAGCCTTGCTCAGAGAGGAGAAAGCACTTGTTTGTACAAGATCCCCAGACCTGTAAATGTTCCTGCAAATTCACAGACTCACGTTGCAAGTCGAGGCAGCTTGAGTTAAACGAGCGCACTTGCAGGTTTGTGTCCTGAAGGATGAAATACACAAAGAGAGACAGAGAAAGAGAAAGAGGGGGGAGCTTGCTTCCTGCTGACTTCTGGCACCAGTGCTGTGTGACTACTTCTTTTCGCTGTCCTACGTGGGCCAGAGGGCAGAAGGGCTAATTGAGATGAGGACAGAGTTTCCCTGTGTCAGAGGGCAGCTGTGCATTTCAGATGTACTGTCAGGACTTGGATGGGGATGGCTCCTGGAGACAGGGCACTTGTATCTAAGGTATCCTTTCCTATAGAACAAAGTAATAGAGTTCATCTTGCTGAGGTAGCCATGAAGAGGGTCTGTAGCCCTCTACATTACCTGTATGCAAACTCTGAGCATGCTTTTGGATAGAGACTTATCCTTAGCTGACTAGGATTTGACCACCCCTGCCTGGCTTGTAGGTACTGCTGTATGCAGGAGGAAAGCCAGGCCAGGATCCTCCATCAAGGCTCTCCCCACATTCTCCTTTGTCTCTTCGTTCTTCTAAAAGCCAGGGAGAGTACCCTGTCCCCTTGCACTGTGCTCAGAGTTCCCTCTCCGTGTCTTGGCCAGAGTTGTGTTTTGGGGGGCTGCACTCAGCGTTAAGTGAAATGTGGCAGGATTAAGTCTGTCTCTGGGTGAAGGCAGGCAGAAGTCTGTAGTTTGAATGGGAGACACGAAGACACTGTGTGGTTAGCATTTGTTCAGAGATCCATGCTGTGCATGTGTCATCTGAGTGCTACCTGTCACACACCATCTGTGGCATAGGCACGTGCAGAAATGGATTCCTCGCTCTCAGCTGAGTGCTTTGGTGAACTCTGGGGTCTCTTGACTCACAGCAGCTGTGAGTGCACCTCTGATGTGGGATCATTCTACCTAACCAGAGAGAGACATGGAAATGGGGTTGCTAATGAGCCCTTGGCTGTGACCCTGAGCTCAGGTTCCTCTCTCAGAGATCTAGGAGATTCCTCCTGGTAAGAGAGTGTTGCAGTGGCTGGACGGGAGAGGCTAAGGGAGAGAGATCCAGGGTCCTCTGTGGCTACACCCTGAGAGAGGAGGCATCCGTGTGTCTCAATTTCCCTGCCTAGAATTGGCTAGGTGAATGAGGCTGATGCAAGCAGCACGTATTTCTTTTTGGTGTGAAAATGCTTTGTGCCCAAACCAGAGTGGCATTGGCACTGCCACCGTGGTGGAAACCACTCTGTATACAGAGGAATTTTCTGGAATGCTGTTATTTCAGTGGGAAAGCAATTGATGTAGAAGCCAGAATAGAGCAGCTTCTGGAGTTAACCTTCTCCCAGCAACCCCTGAAGTGGGAGACCAGACTTAATTTTCCCTCTCTACTTTCCCCAAACTCCAGATTAGCTGGAAATTACCCTGCAGAATTTGAAAGGTGAGAAATAGTAACAAATACAAATTAAAAACAATATCCCAAAGAAGTCATGATGGCAGAAGGAGTTTACTAGTTTCTCTTACTGGTTGCTCTCTTTGGTGGGATAATTGGCATTAAGGGAGGTTTCCAGAGCTGCTGTGTTGGCCAGAAAGATAGGAAGGAGTCATAGGAGTGAGTAGCTTATCTGTTTCTAGATGAAAAGCTAGTTAAGGTGAAGTTGCTCATGCTCTTTCTTGTAGAATTAGAATTGGACCCTACCTGGGAGGGTGAATTCTCGTTTCTCCTGCTGCTTCTTCAGGCTGTTGCTGCTTTCTCTGGTGCTAACTCCTGCTCATGGCAGCTAGTCAAATGAGAGGCACTTTCTTTTTACCTCCTTTCCTGCATGAGGCCTTGTTGTCTGCACTGCTTCCAACCTGAACAAGAGGCTAGGTGGGGAGCTGAGGGAATGCGTCTTTCTGCATGCATTGCTTAGCCTTGTTTTTCTGTGTGTTTGTGTGTATCTGTGTGTGCATGGTGTGAGGGTGCAAAAAAGTCACTTGGCTCATCTGTGAGGAAGCCTCTGATTCTGCTCCTAAATTTCCCCCTGTACCAGTACCCCCTTTCTGCCCTAAATGAACCTGGGGGAATAGAACTCATCGACCTGTTCATGGGTCGAGGTTCTCAGGTGTTTTGCCTCATCTGCACAGCACTTCACCCCACCAGTGACGTCATGCCATGTCTTAACACCATGTGCTAAAACACATTAGCCACCTCCCTTCCTTCCCTTCCCTGTCCTACCTGCACCCCCATCGCAAACACTAAACCCTCCTCTCTTTTTTGCCTTCCCTCTCCTCTCGAACAGATGTGAAAAACCGAGACGGTGAGCAGCGGAAAAGAAGGGGGAACAGCCCTGTTTCTGGAGCCTGATTTCTCGCCTGGACAGAAAAAAAAACAAAACACTAATCCAAATGAACCCTAAAAATGAAGGATCGGTAGAGCACAGCACTTTCAGTACGGACGATGGACTCCGGAAGGAACATTCCCCAAGGCACCCGCCGCACAGAATTCACCTTTGGGTTTTGAACTGTTTTATTTTATTTTTCTTTTCATGCTGCTAAATAACAGAGCCAGGAAGACTATAGGGGTGTATTTGATGGGTTTTGCCATGCATACATATATATGTGTGTATACGTACATATACATATATATATATGTATATATATTTTAACCACATCTATATATACATATATGTATATCTTAACCACACACACATATATATAAAATATATATATATATACTGATTATTTTTTTTAACATTGCTAATGTTATTGGTGTCTTCACTGGATAATACTCGACTGCTGTGGACACAAGCGGGCTACTTGGGGCATAAGAAACAAGCTAAGACTGGACTTGAGTAGAAGCGCTGGGTGTAAACTTCTTAACTCTAACTGACTTGTGCGGCCTCCGCTGTTTCTCTGTAGAGTGTGCTGTACCACAAACCACCTTCTCCTTGCCTGGGACAGGGAGGAGAGGTGATGGAGAGGATGGGCAGGGAGTTCCAAAGAGCGGCATCCTAGGGTGCGATGGGTCAAAGGCCAAGGAAATGGCCATCTCCGTGATCAAGGATTCCTCCTCCCCTCTCTTCCCCCAACCTTCGCCCTTACTCGTCTCATAACCTGCCTGCCTTGCTGGGACATGGGATGTCAGTGTACATTTTGCGTTGACTTTATTCGCTGTAGAAACTTTGCCAGAGAAAGATGCTGGCTTCTCTTAAGGATGGTGGGCAGCTGATGCACACTAACTTTCCATTCAAGGAAGTATCACAGGAATCTAGATTTCCCGCCCTTGGTGGCTGCAAAAGGACACAAGGCCTACAGTGTGCTGAAGCAAGAATGGGGACCGGTGCATAGCCACACAGTTATTCAGCACTGTCTGCTTTCTTCATGCACAGAGCTGCCACTCAAGAGCATCCAAGATGCTTACGGAACATTTCTGGAAAGGGATATTAATCAGAAGTATATACACAGTAGGGGGGTGTGTGTGTATGTGAATGTGTGCATTTGTGTCTGTGTGTATGTATGCTTGCGTTTTTCTCTCTTTTTTATATATATATATTTATTTTTATACATATATATATATAAAAAAATAATATATATGTATGCCAAGATTGAAGGGGGGAAAAGAATACATTTTTTGTTGCCTTCAGTTTATGTGCCCGGTGTGAATGACCCTTAAGAGCGTGAAGATTTTTTTCCTTTTTTATGACATACTGTAAATATCAGACCCCTTTTCCATGTCTTGGGCTGGGGAATCAAATGTGAAGGCAGCCGGAATCCCTAAGCCGTGTCCAAGAATCTTGGCTATGTGTGTATCTGCAATATATGCTGTGGTGTATGTGAAACCCACCGTACACACGTGCGCACACACACACCCCCCTGAAAGCGTGTTTGTACATCTATGTGGATATATATAATCTAGTTCTGTGATTAAAATTATTATTATTAATAATAATAATCAAAAAGGTACTCGGTCTGTGTCAGAATGCTGCCAAACATCATCTGCAATTGAATTTTCAACGCCTGATAATGTACAACACGGAAAGCTTCCAAAAAGACAAGACAGTCTAAAAACAGACTCACAACAAGTGACTACTAACCACTAGGAACTCCCCATCTGACTGGTGGCTTTCAGGAGGAGGAAAAACACGCGGGTGGGTGCTTGCATCTGCAATGTGTAATACTCATGCTGCATCGTGCGCAAGACAGAGGCTTCCGATCGGGGGGAGGGAAGAGAAAGTGTTTTATATACTTATTTAATATCCCTTTTTAAATTAGAAATTAAACAGATAATTTAATGAGAGAGTAGGGATTTTTCAGTATTCTTTGTTAATATTTAATTTCAACTATTTATAAGCCGTACCTCCTTTTTTTTTTTTTTTTTTTTTATTTGTACTGGTTGTGTATAAATTTAACCTTCCCCTTGTCCCGTCCCATCTCTCCCCAATTGTTGGCAGAGTCAGTAGCATGTTATGGGCAGTTATTTAATTAATTTCTCTAACACCTACCCCTACACATTCCTATTGAGACAAGAGTTAGATATACATCTACATACTATATATATATTTGGCTATGTGTTTGTATATATATATATGTTTATGTATATGTGTGATTCGGATTAAATAGACGCTACGATTTTTTTATATATGTAAAAAGAAGAAACAGGAAAAATAGAAAATTCTACATCTTGAATCTCTCTCCTTTTTAATTTTAATATTTGTTATCATTTTATTTATTGGTGCTACTGTTTATCTGTAATAATTGCGGGGAAAAAAGATATTAACACTACATATTGTGTCTAGTGAATTTTTTCAAGATATTCCTTAGTACATATTTATTTTTAAACAAAGAAATTACAGATATATCTTAAACAGCGACGACGACGACAAACAAACTTTTTTTGTATTAAAGAATTTAATTCTGACCTTGATTTCCTTTGCCTTCTCCTTCTGCCTTGCATCTTGATTGTCTTCCATTGTGTAGCACTCCCTCCAGCATTGCCTCTGGAGGACACAGGGCACCAGCAACCTGCCAGCCGGACTCTTGGATTTGGGCCCAGAGCCTCCGAAAGCATCTAGGTACTTTAAGCTTGGTGAGATGAATGGGAGGTAGGCACCAAAATATATGTGTGGAGCTCGGCCTGAGTTCCCTGCTCTGTGAGAAGAGGGTGGTCTTATGGGCAGCAATGAGGGGCAGGACTTCCAGGTTCCTTCCCTGTCTCTGATGCCAAGGAGCATGGTGATGGTCCCAGGCCTGCCTCTGTCTTAGGAGCCAAGCCTCATGTGCTGGGCACTGTACAAGCACAAATAGATGCGTTCCTGGTGGAGCTTACAATCCAAGATGAAAGCAATGCTCTGAGCCTGCCTGTTACTGGTGATGGACTTGGTGTTTGCAGTCGGAGCAGTGTGTGTAACCCACTGTCAGCGATGGCTCAGCAAGACCTCACCATCCTGGACATCGCTGAACGAAGAACTGTCCAGCTCTGAATGTGCTCATCATTTCCTGAAGGATTTGGATACCATTGCATCTCTTGTGAAATGCTTTGGGGTCCTTGGGAGGAAAAGTTCTTTGGAAGCGGTGTCGTTTCCTTAACCAGCCACAGAGGTGAGTGTATCATGTCCGTCATCTGGCCGCACTGGAAAGGAGCATACAGGATGTTCTGGATGTCTGGGAGGTGACTCACCTGGGTTAATGCAGACCACTGAGTTCATGGCTGCCTCAGTCATGAAGGTGAAGGATCTGGCTTCTATTTGGGGTGGAGTTTGGTAGCTCAACATGTGGATCTGCAGTCGCAGCCTTTGCAGAGGGCAGAATGGAGGAAAGATAACAAGGACTCAAGGATGCTCTGGTTCATCTTGTTCAGTAACATCTTGAGTGCAATAGAGAGGTGAGAAGGTGAGCAGGGGCTGTCTCTCTATGCTGCTGTGTGAGGAACCCAGAAAGTTGCTTCCTTTGCGTGTTCATCACCAGCATTTGGTTTGGAAGGATCTATGGGCTGTTTCACAGTGGCTGTGCAAGGTGACACTGAGCCTATCTTCAATAGACCTGCATTGTTTCTGTCGCCTGGGAAATGTTTACAAGTCATCAAACTGAAAAGGTTGAAACCAGCAGGTTGCTCCCTCGGGCTGAGAGCTGGATGTGAAATCTCAGCATGAGTGAACCCAGTTATACTGGATGGATGGTGCAGTGGGTCTGAACTGTCAGTGGCAACACATCAAACCTTGCCATGGATGGTGAGCTGGGCTGGTCGCTCCTGGTGCCTGGAGGATAAGAGTATGCTGCATCCCACTCTTTCCATACCTCTGAGGGCTCAGGAGAAGCTGATCTGCAGAGCCAGGTTGACATGACAGCCACCTACTCTGAGACAGTGGCCGTGGCTGGGTGGATGGTGTGTTTCAGCTGGGACAACTCTGCCTGCTCAGAAAATGCTCTTCTGTGTGGCTGCAGCGGAGCTGGGGCAGCTGCCTCAAACCACTGCAGCAAGAACCTGCCCAGACCAGCTCTGAATGAGGCACCTGGGGCTCTGGAAGCAGTCCAGTTCCTCTCCTTTATCCTCCAGGGTGGATGTGGCTGGGCTGTCACCTCTTGTGTGGAGCGCGATGCGCAGCTCCATGTTGGATGGGAGCTCAGCCTGGCTGGAAAGGCTGTGCCTGAGTGAGGACACTGCTCCTGCAGGGGCCGGGACATAGGAGTGCGGCTGCCCCTCAGCCTGCCCAGGACCTGGCTCACCTGAGCCCCGTGCTGAGGTGAGGCAAGGACACATGGAGCGAGGCCAGGTTTGCAGGCAGGCGCTCTGATCTCGGCACACAGCCCTTCACCCTGCGCACAAGAGCTTTGGTTCAAAGGCTTCCAGTCACATCCGCATTTTGGGGGCTGGCTGATCAGAATGTTATCTGCAGGCAGCTGGCTGGGGTTTTCCTCGAGCCTGCTTCACCTATTCTGTGGGATTCAAATTGTGGAGGCACCGTGAAAGGCAGAAAAGGGTGCCCTGGGCTGAAAATCATGGAAACCCCAATGGCAGTGGAAAAAAAATGGTGCTTTTGGTTGGAAACTACTTCTGTCCCGTTTGGCACTTGCTAGCTGGTTTAACCCCTTGTTGCTGATGTCTTATGCTGCTGACTGGGTCTGTAAGTCAGCCAGCCCTTGCTTCAGGTCCATCACTGCCTGCAGTGCCTATGTTAGAATGCCTGTAAAGCTTCTGTCCTTCAGCTCGGTCCCCACGAAGGACCTTGGGAGCCCAAAGGAAATCTGTCTCACATGTCCTCCACCATTCGTCTGCAGGAGCTTTGGTAATGAGAGGTGGGTATTTTTATCCCAGACCATGCGGTCAGTGTGCTGACACCCTCTCTGTGCTTAGGACGCCTGAAATTTAAGGCTAATCCCTGTCATCCAGCACAAGATCTGCAGTCCAGGTCTGTGCAAGCACTGTGCTTGGTCCCAGCTCCCTGTTCAGGGCTGGGCCAGCATGGGCCCAGTGGCATCCCCAGTGGCACCGTGCCACCCCACAGGCAGCTGCTGGCTCCCACTGTGCCCCACAGCACCTGACACCCTACGGAACAATGGGGCGGCTGAGCTGCTGGCCAACCCAGAGGGACCAGGCGCTTGTGCCTGGACCTCCAGCCAAGTACCCCTTATCTCATAGGAGGTGGCAAGTTGTGGATAAGAGCTGGGAGCTGATATCCCCTGCACCAGCAGCAAAGGAGGGAGTGAAAGGAATGCAAAGAGCGCCTGACCACAGATTTGGGGAAGGCTTTTCCTTTGGCTGGGGAGCTGTGGGGACCCTGGGGGCTTTGCACCACAGGGAGGACAAGGGTCAAGTTCCCCCTCAAATGGCAGTTGTTTGCTGGATGCCTGTATCAGGAAAGGGGATCTGAAGTATCTCCCGGAGCTCCCTGTCTGTGTGAGGGAATTGCAGGCTTATATAGGCAATGGGACTGTTAGGCATGTGCCTAAGGCTGGCCTCCCAAGGCCAAAAAAGCCTCCTTCCAATAAGGATTTTTTCAGCTTGCTGCCTGAGCCACCTCCATACATCCAGGTGGGTGATGCTGCGGGTTCACAGCTGAGACACATGTTAGGAAATATCTGCACTTCTGGGCTGTAGCTGTACATTGTGATACGGGGCTAATCTTGCTGGTTCCTGCTCTTCATTTTTACATCATTCTTTCAGATGCCCCAGACACCTCTTTGGGTGTCAAAAAGAAAGTCCAATCCCTCCCTAACCTGGGAGTGCCCAAGCATCTCCTTAGGCATTGGGGCTGTCTGCTGCAGCCTGCTGCCCCAGGCTTCGATGTGCCTTTAGCACCAGGTACCTCTGCTGCCTATCTGTCTCTTGGCCAAGCCTGGTGCATACAGCAGGGGGAAGGTGTGCTGCAAGCCTGATGCCAGCATGGCAAGGGTTTAGCTGGGGAGGTTACTTTAACACCTCCTTTGCCAGCTATTCTGGGAGCTGTTGGTGTGCTCTTGCTTGGAGCGTGTTGTGTGGTAGGAGCCAGGCTGGGAAAGGTGCCTGGCTCTGCTGAGCACCCTGATGGGACTGCTGATGAGTGGCAGTTCCTGTGGAGCACTCTCCAGGGAGGCCTGTGTAATGCCAAAATAATCTGGGATGCATGATGGGGTGCTTGCTCGCATCATGTGTGGTGCCTTGCAGGTGAGAAGCTTTGGCTCTAGATGATAATGAATCTTGGTTGAATGCGTCTGTGGTGAAGGAAGAGTGTGTCTCACACAAGCCCTTTGGTATGTAGCCCTGGGAGCATTACCCAAGCAAAAGGGAGAGAGGCCTAATCCCTTAGCTGCAAGCCTTCCAGGCAACTCGAGAGATGTGGCACAAGATGAGTTCGATGATCACCTTAAGCAAATAATTTAGTTCCATCACCTCTTCAGAGGTTTTAAGGCCAGAAGCATGAACTGCCTGAGCTGACCAGAGTCCTTCACCATCATCTTGCCCATAACTCTTGCCTGAGACATGGTGTACACTTTGGAAAGGCATCCAAGCTGCCATCTCACTGCCTGTCCTACCTGTCCTTCTAACCTACAGAGAACCTGCAAGCACTGTGCCACAAACATATCGATACCCAGTGAGTATGTATTTGTGTCATTGAACTCCTACCAACACCTCTCCCTGCCCTTCCTGCCTGTGCCTGGCTCTGACTCCATCAGTGCAGAAGCAAAAGCCCCAACAGAGCCTTATGATGGGCTTATTCCTTTCTAAGAAGCCCTTTATCTGGCTGCTCGGAGGCCAGCGCAGGTACCAGCTTTTCGAAGCCTTCTGGTTTTTTGCATTGCAAGGACCTCATGTCTGGGAGGAACAGCCTGGAGCCTCCTGAGCAGGTCACTTTTCTCCTAAGGTTGTTGTTGCTCCTGGGGAATAAGAAGCCAACTCCTACTTATTTTGATTTATCTCACCTCCGGAAGTGCAGCGAATGGAGGGTCAACAGCACTGCATCTGATTGTTTCCAGTCTCCACAGGCACCATAAATTGTGAGTCATAGGATCATCCTGAGTTACTTGGTGACTAATCTGAGGCTGGTCTTGAGGCTCAGGGCCAATTTCTTGCTTGCAGTATTGGCTTGCCAGGGCGCTGTGCTGTGACCGTACAGCGCAGACCTCGTCGATACACAGCACCTCGGAGAACTGGCTGGGCTGCTGGAGGAGGTGCTGATGAGTCAGGGAGTGGCACTGCCCTCTGCACCAGTACCACTGGGGTGGCTGGATGTAAGTGCAAGAGGCTGTGACATTCGTGAGTCACTTTGTGGGACTGAGTGGGATCCACACCCCTGCTGAATTGCTGGGACCAGTCACGAACTCAGAGACATCCCAAGAGGAGCAACTTCTGGGTTTAGGTGGTCTTGTCAACCAGTTGCAAATGTGCTGCTGAACATGCCTGTCTTTGTGCAGGTCATACCCCACAGCCTGAGCTGTTGCACTGCCTGG